TAATCAAGGGCTTAGATAGAGTGAGTAGTTCAAGTATGGTGGTCATTGTTCGAGTCAAAATCAAATGTAGCAGGGTAAAACAATTGTCTCATGTGAATAATTGAGAATAGTCAAGGTACGCGCAAACAGGTTTGGACACACCAATATTAAAAAAAAAAAAAAAAAAAAAAAAATTGCTATGCTTGCTGCAATTTCATGGTTGGTGCTTCTTTCATCAAAGAGATTAGAAGTTGTCTTTGCCTACCCGAAATAAAGACTTAGTTGTAAAGCATTCATTTTTTCATTTAGCATGAAACACCCGCTTGCAAAGATTTTCGTCGACCTTTTAGGCCATTTAATTGAAGAAGGATTATCTAGTTGTTCACAAAGCATGTACAAATGTGCACAAGTATGTTTCAACTTCTTGATTGTAGATTTTGACTAGAACGATATCACCTTTGTGCATTTTGTTAGGTCTTTTGCTTGTGGTAGTCTTCCTTGATTGAACCTAAGGTCTTATATGCAGGCCAATCTGGAGAAATAACTACAGGTCATTTGCTTCTTGCTATTTGGTCAGAGGAATCGGCAGGTCGCAAGATCTTGGCCACCCTTGGCTTTGATGGTGAGAAAGCGAAAGAGATCGAAAAAACCGTAAGTTTTAAGTTGTTTTTTTTGTAATTAGTAGCACCCTCTGGACTTGATGATATACTCCACCAATACGTTTTCATTGTTCACAGGTGGACAATGATGCAACTTTCAGTTATAAGTAGATGGATTGTGTTGGAAGATGTGATGCAATTTTCATATCTTCGTGGATGGAATCCTCACAAAGGAACGCCCAAATGAAACTCATATGACTTGGACCCTCGTGCATCCATTGGTTGTATAGCGATTTGCCTGTTTAATCAGCACCTGCCGCTCAACATTATCAGATTCATTTTGAATTGGCTATTGTTCGAACTTATGGAGTGCTGGTATGGTACGCTACGCTACATTTTAGTGGTCTCAAATTGCTTGCAGGGCATAGTTTTCTTACTGTGGCTTTTTTTGGACAAGCTGAAAAGTGAATAATAACCCCTATATTTAATACATAAGATTCTTAATTTAATCTTTGCAAGCCATCCACGATTACTTTTCAATCTTAGTATTTAAATTTTTACCTTTGTTTCATTTATGTTTCTTAATACATGGGGTTGAATAGTAATGAAAAGTCTTAGCAATTTGTCAAACTTTACTTGATCAACTGCGGTAGATATGAATATTTTAAATTTGAATTATTGTTTGACTTGAGAGATTATTGTTAAGCTGGGCCCTTATGCATATTCTCCTAGTTTAGTGCATTATCGAGTAAGTGGATGTAGATGTAATGATAATGAGTGCATTTTAGATATATCTTAATAAACATGATCCCCATTAAGTGTTTCCCCACTGCCTATTTCTTTTTGTTCTCGTGTTTAACATATTGAAATGAACAATCTAAACAGCGTTTCTCATTGAATAAGCTGAGAAGCGTCTTGTCTATTACTCTGGTTGAATTGGTATTAGTGGATATGATATGATTGCTATGGTGAAAGGGACCAACTTTAGTGTTAGTGGACCGACGTAAGAACAGGTCCATGTATCAGAAACGACCATGTTTGTCATTTCCAAAGTTTATAAAAGCATCATTCTGATTCAGCCATTGAGTGAATGCATTGTCTCTGGCCACTTTCTAGTCACTAGCCAAAACTTAAACAGTTCAAGTTTGCGTGCTTAATTCTTTGCATCTAGTCGATTGGATAGAGTTTGGAACATGAAGCAACCGCATCTTTTTGACTTCTTATTAGTTCTGCTGAAAGTTGAATGTGATTGTTGCGTCGTCCTCTGTGAAACCATCTGTCATTCCTTCCTTTCCTTCTCCTTTTTGCCCAAATGGGTTTCTTTGGTGGCATTTTCTTAGCTGATATAGGCTCAAAATGCATAAACATGGCTTGAACTTGCGCCGTTGCTCTAAGGTAACCGTCATTACCCTAAGAACAATCATATAACTATTTCCATTTCAGCTATGAGTTAAACTTTTTGTAGTTTTAGTTGAAATGACAGTTTCATTAAAAACAGGTAAATTAGAGGAAGAATTTGCTTGTTGAGTAGGACCTGAAGCACTTGTGTAAGGGGAATAATTGTGCGCTTAAAATGATGATGCTACACGTGCGCATTAGGTCATCCTTATATATATCTATGGCGAAGCATAATGTCATTGGGTATGTTCGTAACGTGTCTCTTCTTTTTGGCCATTATCTTTGTGGCCATGTCTTGTTAAAGTGGGGCAATGCCTCCTCAATTTCTGTTCAATAGCGATTAGCCCCTCTCTCCCCTTCTTCTACTCCTCATCTTCCAAAAAGTATATGCAATAATAGAAATTGTTTTTGTAATCTTAGGGTCAAAATGTAGTGGGAATCTTAGCGTTGCACACTTCGGTCACTATCAATGCCAATAAGAGGCAAAATGAATGTTGGTTTGAGGTGGGATCAAAAGAATTAATAGCCTTCTATTTTCCTCATTTAAAGCTCTCGGGAAGACATCTATACTGCACCAACGCGTATAGTTCAATCCATTATCCGCCATACAAATGAATTTTAAAATATCCAAGTATAAAAAGTAAATACACACTAAATTTGTAATTTAATTATTCAAGAATGATTAAAATTTAGCTATGGATGATCTGGGTGCAGCTAAAAGCAAGAACAAGAAGAATTGCTTAATGATCTATTATTGTCTTGTCGAGCCATGTTTAACGTGTGCGTGCAGGCTGGCGAGTGGGCGTGCTTGGCACTGCCGACGCCCTCACCCCTCCTCCATCTAGATCATTCCGCACGCCTCTAACCCCAATTATTCACATAAACCTCTTTCATTCCCTTTTTTCAAAGCTTGTCATTTTAATACTCCACTTTTTACCTGGTTCATTCTATGCACATTTTTTTTAGTTATAAATATCTTTACGTATTGCATCGCGACATACAATTTGATAGTTAAAATATATATGTAATTTGTACCTTGAATTCATAGAAAAAGACAAGTTTTGGCCTCAATATTATAAAAACCAAAGTCCAAGAGGGTAGCAATTTGTCACAAGTCAATTACTACACACCTCCATGAATTAACTAAACATTAAATGAACCAATAAGGAACACAAAGTCTCCCATGCTTGGAATTTCAAGAGATTGCTTAAAACAAAGTGTGTTTAATTAAAGTGATTCCATTTAGATTTTGCAACTCAATAAGTTTAACCAATCGCAAGTCGACAAGTGGCCTTATTCGACCCTCCTTCCAAGTTGGTAGGTTTTTTACAATGGAAACACATGGGCAATGCATGGGGGAGGCCTTCCTTTGCCCACAATTCTTCTAACAAAATCTCTCATCCCCATTCTTGATTCCTCGATGAATTTAGGTCTTGTATAAGATTTCTTTATATATTAAGTTAAATAAAGTTCAACCCGAACTACTCTCAATAATCTTCGACAATATTTTTAAAAATAATATAATTACTTGTAAGTTTAGTAATATAAATTTGATTTTTTCTCGAAATTTTCACCCACTACTTCAAAATTTGAACAGTAACACGCGAACTTCAAACCTATATGCTTTCACATTCATATGGGTAAGGCGTAAAAAAGCAAATTGAATAGTCAATTTCATGTGTAACAAACAAGGTAGGGTAAGAGAGAGAAGGAGGTGAAGGGTAGAGAGAGAAAGAAGGGCAGAGAGAGATAAGGAGAGGTTGAAGGAGGTTTTGCCTATTCATTCACCGACAACTCAACAACGAAATCTTCCACTGTTGTTCCATTGATAGGTAAAAGCTCAACCACAGCTCAAAAAACAAACCTTATAGTACCCACTACTTTTCTCACCTATTAAACTAAACCTTTGATTCCCATCTACACCTCGAACCAACCGGTCCGAGGTTGAAATCTTCGGTTTTTCTTGTTCGAACTAAAAATAATTTATTTTTGTAATAAGATATTTGAATTCTTAACCAAATTTTCAAAACAAACCTTTGTAGCCCCCGTCAAATGGTAATCAAATCAAACGAAAAATATTCCAAATGGTTATGAAATGCATGCAAGGTAATAATTCGGTAATAATTAATTTAAAAGAAACTTAAAGAGATAATTCATAATTAAAATGAGTAACACATGAAAATTAAAAAAAGGAAGAAGCCAAACCAATAACGACACGGTCCTCGGTTTCCTTTTGGACAAGTTAACATCCTCTGCAAAAGTAAAATAAAATAAAATTAAATAAATCTTCGCCGACTTGGAGATAACTATTATTTATTATTTTAATGATAAAGAAAAAAGTATTAAAATTTGATAAAAACACATCCCAAAAAAGGAAAAAAGAAAAAGAAAAGAATGCTATAATTGTTCTCCCCACGCTCATCCCAAGCGTGTGTTGGGTTGAACCCACTACAAGACAAAGTAGCCTTTATTTAGAAATTCGACACGCGCTACCCGCGTGCGTGACTGTAATTTCTCTTACTCTCACTCCTTACATTTTATTTTTATATATATATATTTATGTGTTAGGTTTCATAATTCCATAATTATCGGTTATTCCTATTCACGTAAATATTTTAAATTTTGAGTAGAGAAACAAAAAAAATATTATTTTTATATATACAAATTAGAGACAGAAAATGAAATAATTATCATAAGATTGTTTGGCATTATTATTTCAAGTTGGTCTTGGTCCAATGGACCTCAACTGATTCGCTCGATCATATGTCTAAACAACTGACATTATTTGTCAAATTAGAACAAGTATCCCATAATTGTTAGAGACGGAGAAATGTCATATAATTTAATTTAATAATTAAAAGATATAAAAGGTAGGAAAGCTTTGGGAAGGGGAAATTCCATAAAGTTTTGTCTATTTTTATTTGTATTAATTAATATCGAAATCATGAACCATTTGAAAAATTAAAAAAAAATTAAAAAAAAAAAAAGGCTATGAAAACAGCCCACGAGCTTTAACAACGCCTAAAATCTCCCCCACTGTTATATCTCATCTATCTATCTATCAATTCCTTCTTCCTCCGCATTAACCAAACCAAATCAATATGGCCCTCGAGACTTGGCTAATTAAGGTCAAGACCGCCGTCTCCAACAAATTCGATGTGGTTCGAACTTCAACTATCCTCAACACCAAACCCACATCGGCTAAGAAATCGCCGAACCTCGGCGTTTTGGCCTTCGAGATTGCTGGCCTCATGTCCAAGCTTTTGCATCTATGGCACTCCCTCTCCGACCACAACATTCTTCGTCTCCGAGAATCTATTTCTCTCGAAGGTGTCCTTAAGATTGTCTCTAACGACGACACGTTCCTCCTCGGCCTCGCCTGCGCTGAAATGACCGAAAATCTTCGCCTCCTCGCCAACTCTGTCTCCCGCTTGACCATTAAATGTCACCACGCCCATCTTCGATCCTTCCCTCGCTTCTTCCACGACTTCGCCGACTCCGGCCGCGATCTTCACAATTGGGTTCGTTAAATTACAGCTAAATTCTAAATCTTTACTCTAAATCTTCACGTTCTGTTTCTAACAATGGGTTTCGTAGTTTTCTCTGTTTTTTTTTTTTTCAGTTTCTAAAAATTGGGTTTTTTTTTTTTTTTTTTAATTGATGAATGTTGCATTTTGATTTACAGATTATGAGCGAGAAAGAAATGGAGTGTAGGAACAAGAGGATTGAGAGATTAGTTACATTCACTGCAGCTCTTCATAGAGAAATGAATGAGCTTTCAATTATGGAAACTGGGTTAAGAAAAGCAGTGGCAAATTTAGAGTTCTGTGATCAAGAGAAGAGTTCACCATTAGAGATCTCTCTCAAAGAGCAAAAGATCCTCGACCTCCGACACAAGATCTTATGCCAGAGACAAGAAGTAAAGTATCTAAAAGAGAAATCTCTCTGGAACAGAACATTCGACACGGTGATTTTAATTCTAGCAACCTCAATTTTCACAACTCTAGCAAGAATTAAGGTTGTTTTTGGTATTGCTCAAACCCCATCTTCTCTCCCACGTAGCCTCTCCGCCTCTGCCGCTGTCCACCCGCTCAAGAACTTAAACGACAATGGAAAAAACGCATTGTTTGAATCCAATTCGAAACTTTTAAAGCCTCCCCCGACCACATTGGGAGCGGCGGGGTTAGCCCTGCATTACTCCAACCTGATCATAGTGATGGATAAAATGATCAAGGCTCCGCAACTAGTTGGCATGGATGCGAGAGACGATCTTTACTCAATGCTACCAAAGAGCATTCGGTCGTCGTTGAGAGCACGGTTGAGAGGGGTTGGGTTCATAGCGAGCGATCCGTCGTTGGCAGGAGAATGGAGGGAGGCAATGGGGAGGATATTGGGATGGCTGTCGCCATTGTCACAGAACATGATAAAATGGCAAAGTGAAAGGAGCTTTGAGCAGCAAAATTACATGGCACCAAAGACTAATGTAATGCTTTTGCAGACGCTTTATTTTGCTAACAAAGACAAGACAGAAGCCGCCATTACAGAATTGCTTGTGGGGTTGAATTATATTTGGAGATTTGAAAGAGAAATGACTGCCAAGGCCTTCTTTGCCTCCAACAATTTCACTGCCTCTTGATGTCTGTTGTATATTTTTATTATACAAAGTATATAAATTATATGATGATTAGGATCAAAATATTATAAACTTTCAATCATAATTATTCACATATTTAGTTTTAATTTCGAAATTATAATTAGATTTTTTTTTAACCATATTTTCTTTTTCCAAAATTGAAAGATTTTTCTTTTTATGGATTAGTATATAACTTTATCTTTTAAAAAATATAAAATTACATACTGTTAAATTAAAAATAAAAAGGAAAAGCACATCGAATAAATTAAAACTCCAAACTAATATTTACATAATTTTTTTCTTTTTTTATTTCAACAATATAGATTGGAAGATTCGAGCCATACTTACTTGGGTTAAGATATCAGTTACATTTGGTTCGTCCAGGCCAGTATCAACACCAAGACCTAGTTCACAAGCTTGAAGAAAAGCTTCACAACAATCTCCAAATTGGTGTAAAATGTAACAAAATGGTGTGTTTTCCTCCATTGCAATCTGCAAAACTCCATTTGGGTTTCTGTTTTCAGTTCCTTTTGATGGAAGTTTTACCTTTTCCAGCTCCTCGATGCCCTTTTTGGACTCTGTAGGATCTCACTTGAAGGGCTCCAACTTGGTGGCAACCTTCGGCTGGAAAAGACATCGTACGCTAATGAGTTTTCTGTAACTTTTGTTTGACGAGATTGGGCTTTCCTTCCCCACTGTTGTAATATCACTTTTGGCTGGAAAACAAGATGTCACAAGATCGTAAGCTACAATGTTAACAATTGGATGGATATAGGACAGAAGTATAGAGGACGGAATCAAAGGACAGAACTTTGTATAAAATCTCAACTCATGCTTCCTTTAGCACGAGATTGGTGGGTTTTGAGCCCTTCTTCGCAATTCCTTTGGCGAACTATGATTTAGATGCAAAAAAGCTCTGAAATTCACTGCTTTTGTGGGACTTGTTGAGGCTACTGCACTCCAAGACGGATTCATTATAGCTGAGAAAGCTGGGATCTATCTTTCTGGGTTAAAACAGATGCGTTGATTCTCTAGACTTTACTCGAAGGTTTCTCTCTTATAGTTTACGGAACGATAATTTTGTTGCTCATGGTTCGGCTTGTCATGAAAGACGGAGCAACCTCTCTGGTGTATGGATTGTAGCAACGAGTTAACACTTTTAAGTTTTTGTTTATGCTTCTGCGTCACCTAAATCCAAGTTTCTGGCCATGCTCACAAGTAATCGACTTAACTTCAAATCTTCAATATTTACACTCAAAACACCATCTGCAGTCCGTTTAAAATCGAACACTAGAACGAATCAAATTTAACAGAATACATGAGAGATGCTCCTCGAGTAAATGCTGTGTACTCTATTGCAGTCACAATGAATGGGCCAGCAACTAAAGATCAATATCTAATATTCGAAGTGTTTCAAGAATGATGCATGTTGGCTCAAAGACATCATTAACCAATCTAAAAGGTAAATGCATTGATAAATGACTCGATGAACAGCAAGGAACATCAATGTAGAATGAAAATGAATCAATCAGTAACCAGGGTGTAGAAAATTAGACGTATGGCCTTACCGAAGCAGAAACAAGCAAAACGCCACAGCAGGAAGCCTACACCGCTCAGTTGTCTGAATCACAGAAAAAAAAATAAACGTTAAGGTTTACTAGTCGGCACAAGAACAAGCTAAGAAGAGGACCCTGCTTACCAACTCATTCATGGCAAGATAGGCCAACTGCAGAAACGTTTTTCAATGCAGTGATAGCCAAATGTGTTCACAGATCCTCATATCACATGGTCATAGATGCAGCAGGTTGATTACTCATATTCCAGACACTCAGTCCTTTGACATGCATCTCAGACAAAATAAGATGGGCTTCTTGAAACCTCCCCTCTCTCTTAAGACCATCAATGAGTTGATTGCAAACGGAGGCATTTAACAAAAAATGGTTTTTGAACATTTCTTTATACCATACATGTGCCTCGCCATAATCACCAAGTTCACAAAGTCCCTTCACTAGGATATTGTAAGTGTCACCCTTAGGACTCAACCCTCTAGCCTTCATATCATCAACAAGTTTCCTTACTTCTGTAACCTTACCATCTCTCAAGCATCCTAAAATCAAGCTGTTATAAGTCATCTTGTCTAGTTCGACTCTTTCATCGATCATTTTTTTGTACAAAACAAATGCCTTTTGAACATCTCCATTCTCTATGTAGCAATAAATCATTGCATTGTAAACAACTCTATCTGGAGCAAGATCCATGAGTAACATTTCGCCGAACAGTTTCTCAACTGTATCTAAACCAACCTCGCTGCATCCAGATATTAAAACATGATACGTTATTAATGTAGGATTGATGCCTTGCTTTTTCAACGTTTCGTATATCTCGAGACCTTTTTGGGGGTCCCCAGAACTGCAATGCCCAAGGATAAGGGAGTTGTATGTGATCACATCAGGTGTAAGACTACTGTTTGTAATTTGGTTAACTAATTCTTCTGCTTCAATTACCCTTCCTTTCTTGCAGAGTCCATTGATAAGTGAGTTGTACGTCGAAAGGGTCGGGGTAATGTTCCTATCAATCATTTCATCAAAAATCTTGAAAGCATCTTGCATTTTCCCTAATGTGCACTTACAATCAATCAGCATATTATAAATTTGAGCATTTGGAAGAACTCCTTTACCATCCATGTCAGCAAAAATTACTTCAGCTTCAACAAATCTACCACCCTTGCAGAGACAATTGATAAGAGTTCCATAGCTTACCACATTTGGCTTTATTCCTTTGCTTTCCATTTCTTCAAGAACTTGGAAACATCTATCAAAAAGACAAGCCCGTCCATAACCATCGAGAAGGATGTTATACGTTTCGATGCTAGGGCAAACTTCCCTCGCTATCATCTTTCTCAGCCATTCCTCTGCCTTGTCCATCTCCTTCATTTCACAAAATTTATTGATCAACGAATTAAAAGTGATACAATTGGGTGTTAAGCCTTGATTTTCCATCCGTTGGATGGTTGATATAGCACCGTCGATATTTCCTTTTCGACAGTAACCATCCACTAGTACATTGAAAAGGATTTCATCCGGAACCAGTCCATCCATCATTAGTTTCGTCAGAATCTCCTCTGCTTTTTCCACCTTCCCATCTTTACATAACCCATTCAACAAAATACAACAAGTATATTTATTTATCCTCACCCCTTTCTTCACTGTTTCTTCATACAGAACTATTGAGGCTTCATCATCACCAGACCTCAGATACCCATCAAAAAGTATGCTATAAGTAAATCCATCAGGTGCAAACCCATAAGTTTCCATCTCACGCAATAGCTTTTTTGTTTCCTCCATCTGCTTTGCCTGACAGAGTCCACTTAGCAAAGAATTGTATGTTACAAGATTAGGTTCCAAATTTTCTTGCTTCATCCTCTCTTTCAAACTAAAAGCTTTATCCAGTTTTCCCACCTTACAATATCCATTGATAATGGTATTGTAAGTTACCGAATTCGGGGACAAATTTGTATTGATCATTTCATCAAACATCTTCTGTGCATCAATCAGCTTCTTCTCTTTGCAAAGACCAGAAATTAGCACATTAGACACAAACACAGTAGGACTAATCCCTATCTTCTTCATGCAACACATCAAATCAAAGGCTCTGTTCGTCTCCCCTAGTTTTATTGCCGCCTCAACTGCCTTACCATACATGAAGCTATCTGGTCGAATACCAGATTCGACAAGTTCAGAAAAAAAGTCGAGCGTTTTTCTAAACTCTTTTGAAGACATTAAAAGTTTAAATAAAACACTGAGGGTGGCCACAGCAGGAACAACGCCATTTTCCTTCATTGAGGTACATAATCTTATGGCATCATCAAGCATTTTGAGATCCAAAAACGCCATTAACAACATATTTGAAAAGACATGCTTCAAGTTGGGAGAATGGACAGAAAAAAGTGCAATGAGATCAAAAGGTGATGAGAAAGGAGATTTGGACAGAATTATAGACTTAATGAGCCTCTTGGCAGCACCCGTGCGCTCCTGTTGAAGTAAAATCCGAAGCTTTTGAACTAACTCATGGCACAAAGGTTCTGGATGGTTAGGATGTTGGTTCCTGGTGGAGCTCAATGTTACTTCCTGATGACTAGGAACCTGTTCAATTTGATTGGGGTTGTTCTGGGTAGAATCAGAGCAAAATGGGTTCGAGGAAGGGATAAATGCAAGATATTGAGTTCTGAATCGTCTAATGACAGGAATTCTAGATAAATAATAGCCATGCCTTCCCATTGTCAGCTCAAACAGTTGGTTTAAAGATTTTGCAAAAGCGATAGTACCCATTTCTCAAATGGAAGCAAACACTTCTGAAACATAACCATAATCACATTTCTGCCAAAAAAAAGGAGAAAAACGAATGCTTCAAATGCATATAAGTAGACTTTTAACATACAAAAAACAAAATTTTTACCTCAAAATTCAAGAGATTTTCTATCCAACAAAAGAGGATAGGTCGGGGCATTGATACAGAAATAAACATTAGAATTTGAAGAAAATCAGTTCTTCCTCGACCCTTCTAGGGTTGCCAATCATAGGTCGAATCAGTCGAACCAAGCGGCTTAATCCCAAGACCGAATCGAACCGCAGCGGTCTGTTTCTGTTGGGCATACCCCATGGTTTTCCATTTTAAAGCTCTGTCAGAGTCTTCACTTTTATTCAGTAATTGTAGTGAATAATGGAAGAGACAATACAGTGTTACCGGGCTAGAAATTGGAGCGAGCCAGAGCGGCGGCGGCGGCAGCGAACTCGCCTTCTGCTTCTTCCTCGGCAAAATCACCTCTCCCCGCCTCCTCCTCCTCCTCCTCCTTATTCTTCAATCCTTTCCAGAACAACAACGCCACAGCCGTCCACAACCTCAACTAAGACTCTTCAGCTGAAACAGGGGCGGCGGCAAACGTCTGTGAAAGAATTGAGAGGGAAACCCGAATGGATAGGGCATAAGGATGTTCAAAGGACCGGTAAAAACAAAAATCTGATCGGACGGTTGGATTATTAGGTTGAGTTGGACAAATAAATCAATTTTTTATGAGTTGTTCAAATAAATAACTTTTTTTTTATAAGTTTAATTAATTGATAAGTTTTCTAGAATTAATTTGTGTAATTTTATAATTATTTTTATTATTTATTTTACAACCTCTCTTAAATATTTAAACTCAAAAGTTCAAACATATTTTTTAAATTAAATTATAAATTTAATTGATTTTTAAAAAATACATAAATACATAATTTTATATATTAACATTCTACTTTTATTAAAAATTAAAAAAAAAGTTGAATAAATTACCTAAACAAGAAAAGCAAATTCTCCAATTTGAGCTAGCAAAATGCCACATCAGCTGCTGATGTGGCATCAAATTAAGACCATTGAAATTTCATAAATTACAAAAATTTGAAAGAATGAGAATTAGAATTAGATTGAGGTGTGTTCCGATTGATATTCAATCTAATATAAATTAATTAAATATTAAGATATATTCGATAAATAATATATTTTTTAAATATTATATCTCAACAAAAACGTCAATAATTTAAGATACTAAGTTCATTCAATCTCTGGAAGATGCCATGGAGGGCGATATCAAAAGCATCGTTGATAGTTTCCAGGCCCTCGGGAGCACTCGCGTAAACTAATTTTGGTATCGTTTCAATCACTTTCTCTCTCATCTTCCTCACTCTCTCTCTACTAATTTTCTCCAGCACTCCTCTAATGGACGCCGACCCATTTCTCACCTCCCTCTGATCGATAAAAACAGAGTAACTCCCCGCCTCCTCCGGCAAGAACCACTCGTATTGCCCGTAAGCGGTTCTCTCCCAGAAAATAACCGGAATCGAACCGGCCAACATGCAATCAAACACCGATTTTCTCGAATACGAATCGCCTTTCGGCTGCAAACAGAAATCCGAGTCCAGAAACGTTTCCAGAACCGCCGAGTCACCACTCGCGCACCGGTTCGCAGTGCACTTCACGGCTCGGCACCGACCGGCTGATTCCTTGATGCAGTAACTCAGTAAAAGGGCTCTAAAGTCGTTTTTTATTCCACGACGTGTTCCGCCGGCGAAGCAGAAGAGGTTTGTTCTGTTACGTTCACGAACGTAGCTTTGCCAATTTAACACGTCAGCGTCAGATCTTGGGTGGAATCCTGTGGGGAAAGGTACACCGATATCTAATGGATCGGACGGTTCTCTTTCCACGATCAACCTCGCCACGTTTTTCATCCCTGGCATCAACGCAAAACTGGACCCCCACTCGTTATTCCCCCACCGTTTAAAGTCCCAAGTCAGCCGTCCCAGCGTGATGAAATGATCTCCACCGTTTGATCTGTTCCAATACGGCTGATCCTGGACCCACTTAATCAACTTCTCAGAATCCCGATCACGATCGGAAGCAGTATGATTCTGCCATAGGAACCGTCCGATGGAGAGACCAGCATAAAACGGTATGTAGAAGGCCGTAGCTGATTCCGGCTCTAACGTTCTACACTTATGGTTAAGAATCCGATTATGTATAATCGGTTCCAACATGTACTGCTCCGACCAATACCACGTCGGAGCTAGACCATCAGGAACAACGCCAACGAGCTCCGTCGCCCGGCGGCCGAACCCACCGTTGGACACGTCATCACAGCGGGAGGTCCACGGGTCTAAGGACTCGCAATTTTCCAATAGTTGTTTGTTGAAAATGGGAGGCAGGTCGTAAACGAACACTCTCCCGGAGCTGCAGGGGTCTCCAGCAGCCGTGTTAGAGAGTTGGCCGCCTTCTCTATCGGTGGCGGGGGAGAGTGGAACGGAGCAAGTGGTGGTGAAGATTAGGTAAACTTGCAAAAGGACGACGATTAAAATGAGGATCCATGTGGGATAATATCGTGTGGAGGAATTGGAAAAGGCCTTTGTATCCTTAAAATCCATGCCAATAAATACAATTACTGGAGAATGAAATCCTTCTTAAATATGATTTCAGCCGCCGTTTATGCCCAAAAGATCGGCCGCCAGCCGTTAATTACAGTTGACATTGAAGAAATGTTAGCATGAACTCAAATTCATGCAGGGAGTATAATAGAAAGTGGTAGACGATTTTTGAGGAAAACAAAGAGGATATTAAGGATCTTGTTTAGCTGTATTAGTAACCCATATTTACCGGTGCCATAATCCCAATCCATATGCCCTTTTTTTTCACCCAAAATTCAAACCCACTCAACTACTGCACTTTCTTCAAAGTCAATATACACCAAAAGTTTCTTTCCATCCACGAAAACCGCTTTTTAAAAAAAAAATATATATATATATATATATATATTTTTTTATGTTCTGATACATGTTCCATGTGTCAGATGATGAAAATCCCACGTCCACTAATTTAGAAAATTATCATAGGTTTATAAGTGAGTAATACTAACTCTATTGGTATGAGATCTTTTGGGAGAGTCGTGTTCGTCTAACGCCATGTTTTCTATAATTTTGAAGAAAGAAAAAATCATCATTTAGAGAGTACGGGGCTTTACCCTTAAACGCGAGAAGCAGGAAAAGTCAGAAAAGCCATTCCAGGAAGAGAAGACCCAAAAGACCGGATAAGATTGAAGTATGAGCGCAAGCTTATTCTAGTAATTGTACCCTAAATACGATAATTTACTATTCATTTACGAATAGGAGCATAACTTAATTATAATTCATTGTCACATGGTTATTGTATTTAAGGAATCGTATCCATTCTTCAAATTTATTAAGAAGTTAAAGCTGAAACTAACCAAATACCAATTTTCTTTATACTACTACTTATTTAAAAAAAAAATACAATTATTTTAAAACTATACCAATTTCAAACTAAACTTACTGATTCATTGACTACTAATTTAATTATTGCTTTACTTCTTTATTTATTTATTTGATGGTGGGTGATGTTACGTTATAGTGTTGACCTTTTAAATTGATTAAGAGTTTGCTTAAGGACGTACACATGGCCTTTTGGGGATTGCTTATTCTAAATTTTGGGAACTTGGATTACTATGATAATCTTTTTTTTTTCTTTTTAATTATTTACATTGGTTTTGTATGTGATTGATATTATACAAAACTTTATAACAAAAATATTTGGATGCACCCATGTGACAACCTTATATATATATATATATATATATATATATATTTGGATGCACTTAGTTTCACTATTTTTTAAAGAAATTTAAATTAAATCCATTTATAAACTAAACTTATTATAATTTAAACAGAGTAAAAGAAGAAACATCCAATTGGGTTCTGACACGTCTGAAAATTCCGTAATTCTATCCAATCCATACATTCTACTACCAGCTGTTTAAATAATTAAATACTTTTGAATAAATTGAATTTAAAAATAACTAACTCCAAAAATGGGGCTCTCTTCAAGTACCGAACCCTCGTAACTGTAATGTCTAAACTTTTAATGGGCCTCTTAAGATGGGTTTCCATTTGGGCCTCCAACTACTTGGGCTCCGCATTATACGACCGACTTCCAGTTCTGGCCCGTTAATCTTTTTTAATAACATTTATTTATTTATTGTGTGTTATTTCAACAGCTGCATTAAATTACCGTGTCATTATTAAATTAATGGTTATTACCTCACCCTGAATTTTCCCTCCAATAAAATTGTAGGTTGTAGTTTACTTTTTTTTTTTTTTTTTCATTTATCATTTAATATGTCATTAAATAATATCTTATTTTATTCCATTCTTTAAATAAATAAAATTATATATACATATATATGGCGGTGCCTGCCAGTTCCAAGTATTAAGTATTAAACAAGATAATGGGGAAAAATAAAAAGATAATAAAAAAAATACACGCCTAAAACGTGGACGCAGTTAACGAGGGGAGGAGATGGTACGTGTGGCTTCTGCTTGTGCCACGTGATTCTCGAGTTGTACCTAAATTTGGTTTAAAACTGGCGCCACTTTCAAATTTTACGAATTTACGATTTAGTCCTCCGTGGCGTCACTTCCATCGTCCAACGCTTTAGGCTTAGTTTGGAATTCTTTTACTTCAATTTAAAAAAATGCATATTATGGCGTATTGATAAATTTATATTAAGATGAAATAGATGTATTGTTTTATTATAATATTAATTATCGAAATTTTAATTTGTTTAAGATAATTATTTGAAAGTTTTATTAAAAGTTTTATATGCTTTAAATTTAATAATAATGTCTCTCTCTCCTTTTGTCGTCGTCTTTACTGTAAAAATAATAATGGGCTCGACCTGTAACGCCATGACCTTTATAAAAACCGACACATCATCAGTTTCCCATTTCCGTTTTCGTGTGTGACGTTTTAGAGAAAATGGAGAGGTCCTCGTCGCCTCCTCTGTTGTTGCTACTGCTGCTCTCTGCCCTTGCCGTCGTCTGCTCCGCTGTCGAGCCGCCTCAGATCACCGTGAAGCCCGACGTTGCTCCCGAGTCCCTCCAGATTAACTACATCCAGGTCCGTGTTTCAACTCTCTTTACTCTCAACCGTCGCTTTTGTATTTTTCCTTCAACTTTTGCGTAATATACTTCTCTTTTTCTTTCGTGTTGCGAAGGAAGTTGGAAGCTGTTCTTACGAGGTTACAGTAGCAACAAGCTGTTCATCTCCTTCATTTATCACTGACGAAATCGGTGTGTTGTTTGGAGATTCTCATGGAAATCAGGTGTTCTTTCTTTTCTGTCATTCTCCTTTTTAAAATTATTAACTCTAGGGTTTTTACTTTTATTTACCTATTTCTGAAATTAATTCCCCTGAATCCAAACAAGAGTATGGATTTTGCTTCTAATCTTACGCCAGGATGATTCTGGCCTGAATAATAAACTTCATTATTATTATTTTTTTGTTAATCAACCACTTATCAACTCTAGGTGTTCTTTCTTTTCTGTCATTTTCCCTTTTAAAATTATTAACTCTCGGGTTTTTACTTTTATTTACCTATTTCTGAAATTAATTCCCCTGAATCCGAACAAGAGTATGGATTTTGCCTCTTATCTTACGCCAGGATGATTCTGGCCTGAATAATAAACTTCATTAATATTATTATTTTGTTAATCAAGCTCTTAATATATGATCTGATCCACGGATTTTTGTTTTGTTTTGTTTTGATTGAATGCTTCACATGTGTAACAAATAGATTGTGGAGAAGAAGCTGAGCAATGGAGACAAGGTGTTTGATAGTTGTAATACAGATAGGTTTGTTCTAAACGATCGACCCTGCAGTGTCCAAATCAGTTATATGTATATCTATAAAGACGGAGCTGACGATTGGCTTCCGAACTCTGTTGAAATCTCTGGCTCTGGAATCAAACCCGTTCTGTTCATCTTCAAATCCTCCATCCCAAGCAACACTTGGTTTGGCTTTGATTTACGCCAATATCCTTTTCTATCGCCGCCGTCCTACAACCCGTACCCTCCTTTTCCATCGTTGTCTCCTCCTCCTCCTCCTCCTCCTCCCCATCCCCTGCCACCGCCGCCGGAGCCAATTCTTTCTCCTCCGCCTCCACCTAAGCCTGTTCTTCCCCCACCGTCTCCTCCTCCTCCTCCTCCCCATCCCCTGCCACCGCCGCCGGAGCCAATTTTTTCTCCTCCGCCTCCACCTAAGCCTGTTCTTCCCCCACCGCCTCCTCCTCCTCCACCTAAGCCTGTTCTTCCCCCACCGCCTCCTCCTCCTCCTCCTCCACCATCATCCTCCAGCAAAATCTCTGGTCTGAAATTGGCTAAGGTATCTGTGGTTTTGGGATTGCTGTTTGCTCTTCTGTGATTCTGCAGTAGCTGCTTGCTTTATGTAGTAGTTTGATTTTGTAGTGGTGGGTGGGTGATGTTAATGTTCAAGTTTCATCCCCCATTCCACCATGTTGTAGTACCAATGTATGCTTTCAAAGCATTAGTGAAACTTTATCTTTTCAGCTGTATGGCTATGGGCCTGGTGCAATTCCGCAGCCACTGTTTGTTCTATGTGGGTGGCGGTTGAGAATGGTAGCTCTATGGTGGTGGGTGATACTATATTTACGTTTCACCCCCTTTTCCACCATGTTTTAAGGTCTAGACAAGCAAGTTTTACCGAACCTCTTTATGTTATCGTCTTTCAGTTGTATGGGATGCATGCCTTCTCTATGAAAGTCGGCCAAGCTATCTATGTCGAAAGTTGTATGGTGTTTTATTTGTCAATAATGTGGGATGGAGTGGATGTGTTAAATTTTGATTTTGAGTATTTTTTGTTTTTATTTCAACCATAATTATTATACATAAAATAACATTAGTTAAAACATTATTAATTTTGAGAATTATACCAAACTTAAGCTGCACGTAAAAGTACTTAATAATCTGACATTTGAACTTTGTATTTAATATGGTTTTTAATATCTTAAGTAATTAACAAAATGGGCTATTATACCATCTTAATTCGATTATTTGTCCAGATATTTCTAAAATTACACTAAAAGGTTTTTCCCTCCATGAAAATTTTATAACCAATATCAATATTTAGTGTAAAAAAACTACTTTTTAAATTTTATTTACATTTTAATTTCTTTTTTTATTTCCTTAAATATTGTCAACCTGAACAAAAGCAACATCTTCACATAAATAAGAGGATAGAAATATCTAGTGATAGTTTCGTATTTTTTAAATAGGTCACTTTCGGAGTTACAACCAAAACACACGAAGTCTAATAAGTAAATCGACGTAGTATTGTGTTAGAAAAAACCCCACCTACCCCGTCCCCATTAATATATCTCATCTCAAGTTCAAACTTTCAAATGAAGTGACTCCAAAAGGGAGAATTTCATTTCGGCTTATTCATCTTTTTAAATGTAATCCAGACTAAATATTCTTTAAAATTTTAGATTTAAAATAGATTGATGTTGATTTAAAAAGGTGTAATTTTAGTTAGCATTAGTAAGAAAAGGAAAATAGTTTGTTGGTTACAAAAGATTGGGGATCACTTGCATTTTGAGTTTGGTATAAATACTTTATTTATTTATTTGCTTTTTTTTTTTTTTTTTT